CAGAGTTGTCAAGAGTTGATAACAAAACTAGTTGTGTAATAGAATGTGCAGAGGATCGAGGCTGTTGTTTCTGTTGCGGTGGGCGTCCATGTAGAACATAACAACGAGATTTGATGTGACCAATTTTTCCGTAATGGTCACACCGTCCGCGTTGTCGTCCCAGAGGAGGACCGGTGGTAGAGCTCTGAACTGACTGGGATGGTGCAGTTCCTGAAAGGTTGGGAACCCGAACTGCCATAGCAGAACGATCAACAGAAGCAACACCTAATGGATGAGTCTGACGTCTCTCATTTGACAACACATAGGAGTATGCATCCTCTAAGAGTAGGGAATGAAGATAAGCCCAATAAATGAACACGAGCATACTCAAACTCGTCATTCAACCTGGTAAGAAACTGAAACACTTGATTCTTCTCCACAATCCCTGCATATAAAACTGCATCATCTGGATCCTTCCAAGAGTGGAAGGAATCATAATATGACATCTCCTCCCAAATAACACGAAGCTTGGCGATGTAACCTGAAACTGTCAAGTCACCCTGAGAAATCCTGGTGATATCTCGCCCCATCTGGAAAATTCGTGCATTATTTTGCCTCTGAGAATAAGTGCGTTGAACTGAATCCCAAATCTGCTTAGCAGTCTTCATAAACATATAGCCAACAGCTATGTTTGGTTGCATCGAATTGACTAGCCAAGACATAACCATAGCATTATCTGCAAACCACTGTAGCTATGCCTTCTCTGACTCAACTAGCTCTTTCACAGAACCAGTAATATAGTCAATCTTACCTTTGCCACCAATGAACATCTTGGCAAACTGTGCCCAAATCAAATAGTTGGAACCATCCAAATTCACTGTGCTGATTTGAAGTCTTGGATTTTCCGATGAGTTAGTAGGAAAAATGGCACCACCACCCAAAGAACTTAAGCCAAGAGAATTAACAGTCGAGAACCCTAAATCTGCTATACTCACACGACAATAAAAAATTCCAAAAAACACCACAAATTCTGTTAATAAATCAAAGGGTCTCCTCAGACCATAAACAATAACAATGTCTCCTCAGACCATTCCCGAAAAATCGAAATACATAACTTTTTTTAAGATATATAGCCAAACAGCCTCCTTCTTAATATCCAAAACCTCTTTGTAGACTATTTTTTTTTTTTTTAATCCAAACCCTTCTAGGTGTTGGAGACCAACTATCCCAATTTACCCAACCCTAGAAAAGTAAAAAAGAAATTGTAAAACTTAAAAATACCTGTTTTCGATGACAAAACAGCAACACAGAAAAACATATGTAGTCAACGTCACACGATGTCACAAATAGCCTAAGGTGGCTATCGCACAAGTAGCAAAGCTGCTGAAAGGTGTTCGCTCTGATACCAAGTTGAAATATAAAAAGAAGAACGAGAGAATTGTGTAAAGGCTTGAATGAGATGAATCACTCATTCACAGCTCTAGTATTTATAGATAAAAAGAGCACATGCTCATATTACAAGAAAGGAAACTAAATCAAATTTAAATCAAATCACAGCATATTCTATAGCATAATCAAATCTCTGCTAATATGGTAAGTCATTCCATAAATCGTGGCTATCATACATGCTAACATATGCATAGTCAAATCTATGTTATTATGGTAAGTCATTCCATAAATCGTGGATATCATATATGCTAACAATACCCTACCCTATACTCTACTCTTCTCAGATCTCCGGATCAATTCATCTTGAATCTCCGGATCAACTCGTCTCATCTTGGATCTTCGGATCAACTCGTGTCAGATTTACTCGTCTCAAACTCTCACAACTTCATATTTAGTTTCAAGTTGGACACTTGAGTAAAATCTCCGTATACCAACTTAAGGGGGGGTGTTGGAAAATATTATTGTAGGAACCCTTAAATTACTCCTTGATAGAATATTTGATACGAGAATTTCATAAGAGAGATTTTAGCCTATTATAGAATATTTGATTGGAGTGATTTATGGTATTAATTTTAGGAATCTTCCATCAATATATTTTCCATATTTATCACTTGTATTCTTTCACCTATAAATAGAGGTGATCATTGTATAGAAAGATTAAGAGAGAGTATAATAAAGATATGTAGCCCTTTGAGTTTTGTGTGCCGTGGATGTAAGCCCTAGTGGCTAAACCACGTATATTCTCATGTTCTTCATTTTCTATATCTCTCTTCGACTTTGACAGGTAGAATAGAAGTAGAAATCCTACTGACATTATATATATATATATATATATATATATATTGTTGGAAGTAAGACTTAGACTAGGATTAGTCAATGTTAGGCTGCCAAACGTTGATTATTGGACATTGTTAGGCTGCCTAACTTGCTTCTTATTGTCATGCCTATAAATAGGCTCTTTGTACTCACACAAAATATAATTTCTACAAGATATAATTTGAATAATAGAAATGTAGCCCTTAGTAGCTCTTGATCCATAGATGTAGGCCTCAGTGCCGAACCATGTAAGTTTTTTGTGTTGTTCATCTTCTACTTATACTTGATCTTGCACTGTATATATGTGCTTATATATGAAATTCCACTTGGTATCAGAGCCACCGTCGGAGATGGCGGCATAAGCCTCATCTCTGGCGGCGGTCCATCATCATCCCCTTCTTGCAAATTTAAGATCTCTATCTCTGTTGCCATTCCGTTTTGGTAGCCTTCACCACATGCTTGGTGTCATTTTTCAGATTTCTCTTTCATCGTTTGATTTCGTTGGAGCTCTTCGTTTTGGGCTGTTTTTTTCTGTTGTCGGCAGTGTGTTTTCTGCCTATATTTGGCTGCTGATCCATGGTCTGAGGAGACGTGGTAGCGTGCTATTTTTGCCTTGTTGTGGCTGCCGGTATGTTCCGTAGCATCGTCCTTTGCCTTGTTGGGCTGCCGGTGTGTTCGGTAGCGTTATCTTCACCGTTTCCATATCTCCAACAGTGTGTGCTATAGTGGGTTCTGTCAATTTGTAATTTGTTAGAGAATGACATAGAAAAGAAAGAGAACACAGAGATGTTTTCAAAAGAAAAAAAAAAAAAGTGCGAATTTTTTTCAGCCAGTGTGAAAAAAAAAAAATTAAAAAAGAAAAAGTGAGTGATGGGCCAAAAGAAAATGGAGTGATGTCGGGTGCTTGTTCCCACTCTTGGTTCAGAAGAAAGGAAGTTTCAAACTCTCATTTTGTACCAGCAGCCCAGTTCGAGTTTGAGGGGGAGCATGTTCTCCCTGCTATGTTAATTCCGGCGTTTGCCAGTTGTTCCCGGCAATTGCAAGCCTTGTAGAACCCGGCGTTGCCGGCCCTTGTTAACCGGAGTTTTCCGGTTTGTTGTTGAAGACCGGCTTAGTTCCAGCTTGTTGTTGAAGACCGGCTTAGTTCCGGCTTGTTGTTGATTACCAGCGAAGTTCCGACTTCTTGTTGGTTACCAGCTTAGTTCCGGCTATTTCCCGGCATTGTTCCGGCATTTCTCGGTGTTGTTCCGACTATTTCCCGACGTTGTTCCGACATTTCTCAGCATTGTTCCGGCTATTTCCCAGCTTAGTTCCGGCCTTTTCCTGGCATTGTTATGGTATTTCCAACTTTGTTTCGGATCTATTGATTGTTTATGGTTTGAGGAGACTCTGATTCGTTGATCCGCACTTAATTCGTTAACAAGACCATGTTTGAGGATGCGTTGTTCAAGTTGGGCGTCTCAGATATCCACGCACCAACTTGAGGGGGAGTGTTGGAAGTAAGACTTAGACTAGGATTAGTCAATGTTAGGCTGCCTAACATTGACTATTGAACGTTGTTAGGCTGCCTAACATTGACTATTGAACGTTGTTAGGATGCCTAACTTGCTTCTTATTGTCATGCCTATAAATAGGCTCTTTGTACTCATACGAAATATAAGTTCCACAGGATATAATCTGAATAATAGAAATGTAGCCCTTAGTGGCTCTTGATCCATGGATGTAGGCCTTAGTGCCGAACCATGTAAATCTTTGTGTTGATCATCTTCCGCTTATTCTTTATCTTGCATTTTATATATGTGCTTATATATGAAATTCTACTTTGTATCAGAGCAAGAAATTCCACTCATATATATGATTTCAAAATGCAAATCACAAAATTGATATTGTCAACATCACTCGTAACTTTGCAACCATTGATAAAAGTTTTGCTTTATTCTACTAGAGTATCAAGAGCATAACCTATAGGTTTTTTTTTTTTTCATGTAATTTGGTATTATGCGAAATCTTATGTACATTGCAAACTGTAAGTTGAAAATGTTTCCATCAATTAGTTAATTATTTTAAATAATTAATTAACATCTTGTGGGATTGCATGAATCAAATTAACCTCGCTTCCCCCCCCCCCCCCCCCCCCTTTCTTTTTTTTTTAAATGTACAACAGTTGCTTCAAATAATGAGGTATCAAAGCATGTTCCGTGATTAATCTAAATAGTAAAGGTTACACCAGTAGCCAGAGTGATATAGAGACAGTCCTGAACAAGATGTTTGGGGGTCAAGGCCTGTAGCCATCTGCTTAAAAGTATGTTTTGATATGGTCAATAGCAGCACCAGAAATATATATATAAGATAGAAAGCATTCCACAACACGAGCAGCACCTACAGGTACACTGATTTTCATGTAAATATAAACAAATATAATACCAAACAGAACCTTTAATATGCATCTTAATAGGCAACCACACAAACTTGCCCATCTATTTACAAACCAAAACAAAAACATAAACCCAAGCCTTGGGCTACAGTAAGCCTGCTCCGCTGTGTAAATGAGCACTCAATAGAAAGCCAGTCAAAATTATAACGTCACTGTAAATTGAACCATATAGTATCCAAATTTTGACACCCAGAAGATATTTAATATACTATAAAAGCAGTCTGACTACAAACTTACACCAACAAAAAAAATTTGCTTTAAACCAAAGAAATTGTATCGACTGGAAAGCAACATGTTAACAGACATAGTGAGATAAGTGTACCTCTTCTGACCCTTGAATTCTCACCATCTCCATTTGACACAGGATGATTTTCTTTTTCTTTGCAATGCATGTCTCAATTGACTGCATTAATTGTCTTTCTAGAGCCTTGATCTCAGTTTCTTCAATTTCTCTACCACATTTAAACAAATAGTAATGTTAGAAAGCAGGGATGCATTTGACAACCAAAAGAAAATAAAAAAATAAAAAATAACGGTTTGAAGATAATAATATTTCAATTTTATTTTTTTTTAATGCTTTTACACTTTAGCCATTTCGTTACTTAAAAAAGCGCAACACGGTGTTCAAATTAGAGACACAATGTCTAAATTAGAGCTATCACACCCAGACTAGACGATTAATAAAGTCGAGTTTGTATCACGATTGACAGAACAACCACACGATCACTCATTTGAAACAGTGCATCTAAAAACAACATTTCTAAAATAAATAGTTATCTAGAAATAAGAAAATCATGAATTTATTAATAGAAGATAATTCTATTAGATGCAATAACTGGCATTGCTTGTAATTTTGAAGAACCAAATACAACAAAGGTCCAAGAGAGCGTAAATTAGAAAAAAAAGGGTCTGCTGGAGTCAGGGTGGTGGACTGAACAGTTCTCTGTATCTTTTCAACTTCCAATCAATGGAGGAGGTTAACAAATTTCATCAGAAAGTAATTGATTGTCTGAAGAATGCTGCTGTTTAACTTAATTTGTGCGTTCAGGCCAGTGGAGGAGAGATGTATGTTACAGACCAAGGGCAGGACCGAGGGTGTCATGGATTGGATAGGATGCTAGGGCTCTTCTCAATTCAATGTGACGAATTGAATTATCTTCCACAAAGTGGCGAAGGAATTGTACCACCGGTCGGTGCACCAGAATTTTTGTGCCATAGGTTATAAATGTGAGGGCTATGTTTGTATATATAAAAGAACAGCCAACCAGAGTAATCTAGAATGCACAAGGATAATAGTGAAAATGAAAGACCTGGGTCAATTTTGACAATAAGATTGGAGTAGGTTCGTGGTTGTTCACAACCCATATATAGTCTGAATTGGCACTGATGTTTGAGGTGGAGGGTACCAATAAGGTGCAAACTGAAAATTGTTTCAGCGGTAGAGGAGACGAGGATGACGATAAATGGAGGACATGCGTTTGAGGAAACGTGAGGCCTAAGTGGCAGATTCAAGTCAACACTAGAGGCTGGGCATATCTGAATACTTAGTAGTCAAACTTCAAATCCAAGAAGAATAGGGTTTTTGCAGCTTCAGAGAGTTAACATGAGGAGGTTCCTCATGTTGGTGCTAAAAAAATAAAATTGCATATCAGATGGTCCACATGCAGTTAATAGAAAAAGTACATTAAATCTGACCTTTCAGGATGGATGGACTGGGTCTGTTTAGGCTACCAAACCACAGTACCCAAGATTGGTCAGAAACAGGACCTTCCGATAAAGCCAAAAGGAGCGACCATAGGGATTGTCCCCACTATTTTTTTTTTCTTATTTTTTTATTTTTTGGTTTTGTAAACGTGGTTTACATTTTACAATATTTATACAGTTTTCCCGCATAATTTTTTTACCCCCCTTAAAATTCACTCATATCTTTACTGTGAATGAGCCCGTTCTATTTTTTAATCCCCTCACTTAGTACACCCTCTCTGACTCTCTCTGCCTTGGTCCTCAAGTAAATTTCTGGCCCAGTAAGTAAGTGGGTGAAGCCAGTACAGTCTCAAACAGAAGTACAAAGCCTGAAGCCTGAGGTTGTAAGCAAGATGGCTAATCTACAAACAGGCTACTCGGAAATAAAAGTGGGCTTCCAACCAAAGCCTTGGGGGGGACCTGGGACCAGCCATTCATTCTCAAAAAGTATGGAAGAGGAGGGTTCAAAAGGAAAGGGTGCTTAGTGTTGGAAAACGGGTCTATTTTGTGAAAGCTTAAAAACATTTCCCATCAGTCATGGTGAATCAATCCTAGAGAAAGGAAGTAAGATTAATGGCTTTGGGCAACTTGTAAATTGCCAAATATGAGAAATCTTTATAAATCTTTAAGCTTCCTCTCCAATCCAAGCTTTTGATCAGCTTCTTCAAGATTTTTGGGGCTGTTACTTCTATGACCACAAGGACTCTACAAGCTATGGAAGAGTGGACTAAAAAGAATTGGTGAAAGACTTATAGAGGGAATATATGTCTTGTGTATGTAGAACAATACCACAACACACAAATATATAGGGTAGGAGAGAGAGTGCTCCGCCCCTCCCCTTCTCCCAGTCAATCTCTCTCTCCTACTCTTATCCAACTATCTTGTTTGTAATCCTAGGTAGACTAGAAGTGAGATCTAGATGGGCCTATTCAATACTTGGCTTCTAATGGACTTCTTAAAGGGCTAGTCAACCCCATGACCAAATTAATTACTCCATTAACTATTTTTAATTCCACTAAATAAAAAAAGTTGCACTCCAAGTAAAGAATAAATAAAAGTTTCAAATGCTATAGTACAGGTACACCCCGCTGTGCTTAATTAGCTTATTGGACAAGTAAAGCCTTCAATCCAATTACTAATTAACCCTTTATAATTGATTTCTTGATTAACTCTATCTGATCACTTAAAACATTTATTGACACAATAATATATTTAATAAATACATATATATGTGTATATATATATATATTGGATAAGTACATATTCATTAAAAGCATTCAAAAGGGGAATACATCCCTCAAAAAAAAGACAAGGACAAATAAGGCCTCTAAACCCTCAACAAAACCAAAAACTCCACAAGCCCATCCAAGGATTTACAATTTTTCCCTAGGACCCAAAAAAAAAAAAAAAAAGGGTGCTAAGAATGGAGAACTTGAGCGACCCAATATGATTTTCCTTTCCTTCAAAGGATCTCCTATTTCTTTCAAGCCATAGACACAACGTACAAAGGAGTAACCCTCCGATAGTCACGAGCTTGGGCCCCCATTATACACCCTCTCCAAGCCCCAATCAAGCCTCTGGTAGACTGTGGAATAACCCAATGTATCCTATTCAAACCCAAAAACAAAAGCCAACAATCTCAGGACACCGTGTAATGTAAAAGAAGATGATCAACTGTTTCCTCGTCATTTTTGTACATAAAAAACCAGTTCACCACAATCTGTCTTCTTCTCTGAAGATTGTCCTGGGTCAAGATCTTTCCCAAAATGGATGTCTATGCAAAAAACACTACTTTGAGATGCGCTATTGTTCACCAACCAACCCTCCATGGAGAAACGTACCAGATGGCATGTCTATCACCATTCTTCCACTATCAAGACAATGGCAGTCGACCACAATGGCATATCTATCAGTAGCAATCCGAAAAAGTCTAGGGAAGGTGATAGAAGGGAGCGATCCCCGCACCAGATGTCATCCCAAAAATGTATTCTCTGCCACTTCTGACATGTAAATGTGTTTCCAAACCCCAACCCCAAATGGGATTCTCACCTCAGGGGAGTACCATCCTCCACTTGCCTCCCCATGTCTGCTCGCAATCACCCTCCTCCAAAGTTTGTGCCTCCCTACTCTAAATCTCCAAAGCCATTTCCCCAATAAGGCCTTATTAAAAGGCACTATTCTTGTGAAATAGTTGGGGTTATACTGTAAATAAGCTACACTTGTAAGTGTGTGTGTGTGTGTGTATATATGTATATCAGATTTTAAGGTTCTCTGTAATCTTAAGAGCACCACCAAACATCTTGTCTCTCTCTCTCTCCCTCTCTCTCTCGCTCAACATGGTATCAGAGCAATGATCCCAACCCTGAATTGTTCGTCACCATTCTGGTGAAGAGGGTTTCATCGTTGTGCCTGTGTGTTGGCTTCGTCATCACCGAGAGAGTGAGTTACTTTCACATCATCACTTTCTGTATTTACACGACCAGTGTTGGTTGTGTTCGCCATGGACCAGTGTTCTTCGTTGTTGTCGTCGTCAACCAGTGTTCGTCATCAAGTTGCAGCGGTGCAGATTTCTTTTTGATTTGCAGAGTTCATTGATTTGTAGAGATCCGACCCATGAGAAGGAGGATCGGGTTAACTCGACCCCTGCAGATTCAACCCGATTGTGGTTCTCACCTGATTAGTTTCTCATATCAGTTCAGTTCACGTTTTTTCCAGCCTGTGCAATCTGTTAGAAGCTAGTTCTACTTATTTTATTGGCTGTGCAATGTTCAGTTTGGTCTTGACTGCTCCAGTTTCTTCAGTTCCTGATTTTCCAGCCTGTGCAATTTGTTGGAGGCAGGTTCTATTTGTTTTCCGGGCTGTGCAGTGTTCAGTTTGGTCTTGGCTGCTCTAGTTTTTCTCTTCTCAACTTCTGTTTTGTATTTCTTCCCAACTCCTGGATCCATGGCAGAACCTAGTGAAATAAAGACAACTGCTGCTGCAATTACTGATCATGTTGGGCTGCAAATTACTACCGTTAAACTGAGTAATACCAATTATTTGTTATGGGCTCGGGCTGTGAAGATATCTTTAGGGGCTCAAAGGAAACTCAAATACATTAAAAATGATCCTCCATCTAAAACTGATAAAGGATATGATGATTGGGAAACTGAAAATTACATGGTTATGTCATGGTTGTGGAACAGTATGGAACCCTCAATTGCGGCTAATTTATGTTTGTTAACACTGCCAAGATGATTTGGGATGCTGTTCAAGAAACATATTCGATGGACAAGAATGTTTCTAGAATATATTCTTTGTATGAGAAGATGCTTCTTTTCCATCAATCCGGTAAAAGTATAGGTGAATATTACAGTGTTTTCAAAGGATTGTTGGAAGAACTAATTCAATATCACCTAATGAATACTGACCTTGATGTTTTAAAACGACAACGTGAAGAATTTTATGTATCCATTTTTCTTGCTAGCTTGGACACCGACCTTCAGGCTGTTCGTAATCAGATTCTCGCTAGTGATGGAGGACTCCCATCTTTGGGTAATGTTTATGCACGTTTACTTCGAGTTGCTGAATCATCATCCTCAAAGTTTGTGGGAAGAGAAAATTCAGTATTATTGACCTCTTCTGGTAGTCAAAATTCTGCAAAGGGTCGTGGAAACTCTAGTGGCAATCGGGGATTCGGGGCTATGGAGGAAATACTGGGGCTTCACGAGGACATGGCAGTCGTGATAGAGGCCGAGGTAGACGTGGTCATGGACGTGGAGAAGCACGCCATTGTGGGTATTGTCATGGTGCCAATCATACTATTGATTCTTGTTGGGATCTTTATAGAAAGCAAGCATTGGCAAATCAAGCTGTGATTTCTTCAGACAGTGCTTCACATACTTCTGTTAGAAAAGAGCCTTTAGTTTCCAGCAATTCTATCTCTCAACCGAGTTCATCTGTTGATGATACTGTCACGCTTTCACGAGAGGAGTTAAGTGCCTTGGTCAGAAAGGCGCAAAATAAATCCACTGATGATGTTGTCACATTTGTGCATTCAGGTACTAATGCATGTTTTTCAGACTTACAGTCTTCCTCCTCCCCATGGGTTATCGACTCAGGGGCTTCTGCCCATCTGACTGGTAATGATTCTTTGTTTTCTACTTTGCACCGCTCTAATTGCACATCTCCCGTTACTCTTGCTGATGGTACTACGCGTTCTGTTGTTGGCCAGGGTGCAATTAGTACAACTTCTTCCCTTTCATTATCCTCTGCGCAACTGGTTCCTAAATTTCCTTTTAATTTATTATCTGTGGGGATTCTTGTTGGGATCTTTATAGAAAGCCAGCATGGGCAAATCAAGCTGTGATTTCTTCAGACAGTGCTTCACATACTTCTGTTAGAAAAGAGCCTTTAGTTTCCAGCAATTCTATCTCTCAACCGAGTGCATCTACTGATGATACTGTCACGCTTTCACGTGAGGAGTTAAGTGCCTTGGTCAGAAAGGCACAAAATAAATCCACTGATGATGTTGTCACATTTGCGCATTCAGGTACTAATGCATGTTTTTCAGACTTACAGTCTTCGTCCTCCCCATGGGATCGACTCAGGGGCTTCTGCCCATCTGACTGGTAATGATTCTTTGCTTTCTACTTTGCACCGCTCTAATTGCACATCTTCCGTTACTCTTGCTGATGGTAGTACGCGTTCTGTTGTTGGCCAGGGTGCAATTAGCCCAACTTCTTCCCTTTCATTATCCTCAACTGACTGAAGCACTCAACTGTTCTGTGACTTTTAATCCTTCTTACTGTATATTTCAGGACCTCAAAACGAAGAAGACAATTGGTGGCGGTCCTGAACAAAATGATCTCTATTACTTGGATTGTGGTTCTTCCTCTCGTGGTGTGGCTCTCCATTCAAGGGTCTCTGCCGAGCAGTGGCATTATCGTCTGGGTCATCCTTCATTGAAGTACTTGAAGTCTGTATTACCATTTCTTGAGTCGGTGTCTACTTTAGATTGTTAGTCATGTCAATTAGGCAAGCATCATAGAGTTTCATTTCCTTCTCGAGTAAATAATCGTCGGTCTTCTCCTTTTGAGTTAGTGCATACTAACATTTGGGGCCCTGCCCGTCATAAAAGTGTTCTAGGTTTTTCATATTTTGTTACTTTTGTTGATGACTATTCAAGGAAGACTTGGCTATTTCTAATGAAAGATCGGTCTGAACTTCTTCATGTTCTTCCAACTATTTTATAAAGAAATTGAGGTTCAGTTTGGATGTGTTATTCGTACTTTGCAATCTGATAATGCTATGGAATATGTTAAAGGTGCTATTTTCGATTTTTGTGATAGTAATGGTATTCTCCATCAAACTTCACGTTCTTATACTCCTCAATAAAATGGAGTTGCAGAACAAAAAAAAAAATAGGCATTTACTTGAAATAGCTTGTACTTTAATGATCCACATTCATGTTCCGAAAGAATTTTGGGGGGATGTTTTAACTGCTTGCTATTTAATTAATCGTATGCCATCTTCAGTTCTTAAAGGGAAGTCTCCTTATTCTATTCTTTGTCCTGATCGTCCTTTATTTGCCTTGCCTCCTCGTGTTTTTGGTTGTGTTTGCTTTGCTCAAGTATTAAGTCCTGGAATTGATAAATTGTCTCCTCGTGCAATAAAATTTGTATTTGTTGAATACTCTCGAACTCAAAAAGGGTATAAAGGTTGGGACCCTAGCACTCGCCGTTATGTTGTGTGTATAGATGTGACCTTCTTCGAAGCCACTCCTTTTTCTTCATGTGGTCAGTCTCTAGATACTGATATGTTTCTTCCCTTGCCTATTGTTACGAATGACTCTGCTAGTACATCACTTGGCCTCACACACATCCACTTCAAGTGTATAGTCCACGACCAAAGAAAGCACCACACCAGTCGTCTACTTATGTTGAGGATCCTTCTCATGATGATCTTCCTATTGCCTTGCGCAAAGGAACTCATTCTTGCACTCATCATCCGGTTGAACAGGTTATTCCTTTGCTCATTATCTTCATCTTTTCAGTCATTTATTTGTGCTTTGTCTTCTGTTTTTGTTCCTCAATCATATCTTCAAGCTCTTTCCTCTCCTGGTTGGAAACATGCTATGCTTGAAGAAATGGCAGCTCTTCAACATAATGATATATGGGTCTTTAACTCCTTCACCTCCTGGCATGGAAACAGTTGGTTGTCGATGGGTGTATGCCATCAAGTACCATCCTGATGGTACAATTGAAAGGTTGAAGGCTCGCTTAGTAGCTAAAGGCTATACTCAGACATTTGGGTAGACTATTTTGAAACATTTACACTTGTTGCTCATCTTAATTCTATCTGTATTCTATTGTCAGTTGCAGCCATTCATAATTGGACTCTCTATCAGCTAGATATTAACAGTACTTTCTTACATGGCGATCTTCAAGAAGAAGTTTATATGGAGCAACCACCTGGGTTTATTGCTCAGGGGGAGTCACATCTTGTGTGTCGGTTAAAGAAAGCTATTTGTGGGTTGAAGCAGTCTCCAAGGGCATGGTTTGACAAATTTAGCGCTGTTGTGAGTACCTTTGGATTAAAAAGAACTACATCAGATCATTTTGTTTTTGTGAGGCATTGCCAAGGTGGTACTATCATTCTAGCAGTTTATGTAGATAATCTTGTCATGACAGGGAGTGATGAAAATGGTATTGATGAATTGAAGCATTTTTTGAGCAAGCATTTCCATATGAACGACTTGGGTCAATTGAGTATTTTTTGGGAATAGAAGTAGCACCATCCCAGAAAGGGATTTGCATGTCTCAAAGGAAGTATGTAAGTGACTTATTAAGTGGACTGGCCTGTTAGGAGCAAAATCGATCGATACTCCTATGGATTTATGTACAAAATTTACCTCAGATGAGGGAGAACTTCTTAATGATCCAGGAAGATATCGAAGACTTGTTGGGAAATTGATATATTTGACTGTGACGAGACCTGACATAACATTTGCTATAGGTGTGGTAAGTCAATTCATGCAGGAACCTAGACAACCTCATTTGGATGCGGTATATCAAATTTTGAGATACTTGAAAGGAGCTCCTGGTAAAGGACTTGTCTCTAAGTCTTCTAATAACAGGATATTGTTGGGTTTACAGATGCAGATTGGGCAGGAAGTCAAATGGACAGGTGGTCTATATCTGGATATTGCACATTTGTTGGAGGTAATTTGGTAACAAGGAAAAGTAAGAAGTAAAATGTTGTGGTGAGATCTAGTGCAGAGGCAGAGTATAGAGCAATGGCTCATACAGCTTGTGAAATGATGTGGGTAAAATCTCTTTCACAAGAGATGGGTTTTGCAACGACAGGCCTATGAGAATGATTTGCGATAATCAGGCTGCCACGCACATTGCCAGCAATCCAGTGTTTCATGAGAGAGAGCCATTTTGTGAGAGACTTGGTGATGAGTAAGAGGATCATTACTACTTATGTGAGATCCAAAGATCAATTGGGAGACGTATTTACTAAGGCATTGGGAAAATCACAATTTTCAGAATTATGTAACAAGTTGGGAATGATAGATATCTATGCTCCAACTTGAGGGCGGAGTGTTGAGTAATAGTGTAATTAATGATATAGTTGGGGTTATATTGTAAATAAGCTACACTTGTTTTTTTCCCCCCTAAATAATAAGCTGCACTTGTAAGTTTGTGTGTGTGTGTGTGTGTGTATATATATATATCAGATTTTAGGGTCTCTGTAATCTTAAGAGAACACCACCAACCATCTCGTTTCTCTCTATCTCTATCTCTCTTTTATCTCTCAACAATGCATTAACTACAAACATAATATTAATACGCTTCTATGGTCATTTCTTTTATTACTTTTTTCCTTTCTAAACAGGTAATGTTGAAAAACAAACAGTTGATGATCTTTAAAACTCAACCAGGAATTGTTACTTCAGCATCTACATATATGGTAAATCAACAAAAACTACTAGATTTACCCAAAAAAAAAAAGCATTCAGATTCCAGTAGGCATGGAAAACAATTGTGTCCATGGGGTAAATTTATGTTACAACACTCATCATTATAAGGCTAGTTTTTTTTCTCTTCTGGGGAGGAACTAATAAATTGAGCCATGAAGCTATATTTCTTTCTTACCTGATAAAGAGAGAGAGATAACTGTATGGCAAATTTACAGCTCCAAACCCAGAAAGAACAGCCATGACAGTCACGCCAATGACCCCAATTCTGCTGACCAACTGAGGCATGGTGAAAAATCCTGGAAAATGAAATCATGAGAAATAGAACAACTAGAGCAACAAAGTAACCTTTTAACCGGTCAATCAAAATGATGCAGGCAGAATTTCAAATTTCTCCAATGGAATTTTTGTATTTCAGAAACTTTCCATATTTTGAAAGTTTCCTTATTTTGAGTAGTTTTCTTATTTTGATCAGCTTTTCTTTTTAAGTAGTTTTCTGATTTTCAGTAGCTTTCCTGTTTTGGTTTTATTTTATATTTGGTAGTTGGCGAATATAAGGCTAGGATTGGGGAGGAAGAAATTCTATATAAAGCCTTGTAATTTCTAAGTTCAATCAGTTTTAGTTGAAGAGATTATTTTTACAGCAAATAAAAATTGCTTTGCAATTCTTTGCAATTTCTCCTTTTCTCTTGCATCGTTATTTTTCTATTTCGTTTCAAAATTGCTATGAAGACAATTTGATCGTCTCCTCTTGGTAGGTGGCATCAGTTTGACCAAAATCAGAAAACTACTTAAAAAGAAAAGCTGATGAAAATCAGAAAGCTACAGAAAATCAGAAAACTACTTGAAAAGAAGAGCTGATGAAATTAAGAAACCTACTCAAAATAAGGAAACTTTCAAAATATGGAAAGTTTCTGAAAAACAAAAATTCCCTTGCAGAAATTTGAAATTCTGCCTGCATCAGAAAATGTATGAAGATGAAATAAGAAAGAACAGCAAAATGTGTGCAAAGTGACAAATTTAATCATCAGGAAATGATATCACCCTCCAGGGCCTCACATCATACGTGGTATACAGTGCAGGTATAACATGTAGAGGAGGACTCAAACAACTGTACATTCCATTATTCATAATTAAATTCTTTGGAGAGTGGAAGCTTTTAAACGTGGTGTATACTTCTAGTAAGGATTATATGAAATCACTAGTTCCAGTAAACAAATTTCTGCTATGCTATTTATGTAAATTTGTCCAACTATTACATCCAAAAGAAAGGAAGGATATACAGATGCTTCGAATGATGATGCAAAGCATATTTAAACGTAATAACTAAGCCAAAAACAACTATAAATAAGAAGAGCGAGACGGTGGATTCTTACTGGCTGGTCAACACGAGCATATCAGGGTATGGGCAAGAGACGGGACAAGATGGTTAACATACAACAGAAAGGTTTTGAGAGACAGAAAGAGATCATTAGCATAAAATCCTTAATAAAGAAAATACAAACCTTTATCAGGTGAAGGCATAGGAAAGTGAATGCCCATGCGCCAAAAAGCATAGAGAAACGCCGACAAGAATAAGATGGCACCAAGTGCAGCCCGTTCCTTCCTTACACCTGAGATGAAAATTAAAGATATAGTGTGTATGGGAGAGAGAGAGAGATTATTAAATAATTGACTAAGAAAGCTAATAAATTTTTTTTTTTTTTTTTTTTTGATAAGTAAAAAATTCAATAAAAGCGTTCAAAAGGGGAACGAGTCCCTCAAAAAACAGCACAAGGCCTAGGGCCCCTAAACCCTTCCAAGAATCAATTTAGTGGTGAGATAGTTGAAATTTAGGTGGCTTCTCATATTTGGGCTATGCATATACATATATATAATAATTATACTCCCTGTATACATACATATATATATATATATATGATTTCAATTGCTTTTCAATGTGTGTAACCACCATACACATTGCAATGTATGGTGTCTGAATAATCACAATTTATTTTTATAAGAATTCATTAGAAGGCGTTCAAATGGGAAAGAAGACCGTAAAAGCTACACAAGGACCAAAAAGGGCCCCTAAACTGTGAGGCTCGATGGGCGGGCGCAGGCCTGTGAGAGGTAAGACTCTGGTGCGAGCTACGTATGCTCACAATTCCCACATTGCCTGGGTGTGGAACAATGAAATGCTATACGTAGGTTCATTACCCTTCTATGAAACGTGTTTAAGCCGTGATGGCCATGAACCTATCAAAACTCCAGAGTTGAGCGTGCTTAACCTGTAGCACCAGGATGGGTGAGCTCCTAGGAAGTCTCTAGTACGAGGGAACCAAAAGCGGACAGTATTGTGTCTGGATAAGGTAAGGGCCGTTACAAATGGTATCAGAGCTTGACTCCAGCCGGAAGTGTGCCGACGGGGACGTCGGGCTTCGAAGGGGGGTGGAATTGTGAGGTTCGGTGGACGGAAGCAGGCATGTGAGAGGCAAGGCTCTGGTGCGAGCTACGTGTGCTCACAATTCCCACATCATTTGGGTGTGGAAGAGTGAAGTGTTATATGTAGGTTCATCACCCTTGACACAACGCATTTTAAAGCCGTAATGGCCGTGAACCTATCAGAACTCCGGAGTTAAGCGTGCTAAACCTAGAGTAGTACCAAAATGGGTCTGGAAAGTCTCTGGTACGGGGGAGCCAAAAGCGGACAATATTATGTCTAAATAAGGTGAGGGCCGTTACATAAACTCTCAATATATTCACAAGAAAAAATAAATAAATAAAAATAATAATAATAATAATAACAATAATAATAATCAACTTATCTGCTACATAGATTTTACAATTTCTCCCAAGAACCCAACAAAAAGGGGAACTAATAATAAAGAATTCCGGCACCCCAATAGAAGAGTCCTCTCCATCAAACGATCTCTTATTCTGTTCCCTCCACAAGCACCACCAAAGACATAAAGGAGCTATCATCCCGAAGTGTCGGGCTTGGGCTCCCACAATACCACTAGAAGCCTCTAAAATGCCTCTCTAGGACCGAGGCATTACCCCCTGCCCCTGAAAAGGATCAAAAGCAACTCCCGACTATCCCACTCCAATGGGCAATGCAAAAGAAGATGGTAACCCTTCATCTCTCTAGCACCAGTTAAAAATCATCTGTATTTCCCCCCAACCCAAAACCAAAACTGTCCTCCAAGCAAAAAGGCCACCTTAAGAGGGTCCTTTGTACACCAAACAGCTTTCCACAGGAATGCAAGTCAAACCTCCCCTAAAATGACCAGGTGTATATATGTATAAACATTACACCCTTATACAATACATATATATATATTAATATATAATTGTTGTCTTCAGAATGTATGCATTATGTCATATCCATGTTCATACTTCATAATTGATCACATAACTCATATCCAACAAGATCTTTAACAAATTCTAAAGTAGCAACATAGCACAGTCGATGGCTCTTATATAAACACTAAATTTTCCAACACGTTTTTAAGGCATTTCTTGTTTTTTTCCTTTTCTTGATAGACAAGTGAATTAAAAGGGTTGAATACGGCGTTCAAGCTTTGAACTCGACTCAAAACCAGACATTTATTTTCACTACCAACATGCCTTACCAACTGTTTGAGGCACTGCTGAGGTAGAGAGGACAAGAAATTTAATATGTTGAGATGCAGAGGGACCTGCCTAAGGGAAACCAAACAAGCAAGAAGTATGAGTGGCATTAGATTCTATGATCAGAAAGATTGTTGTTTAAAATGGGTTCCCAGTGGGCATGGGTGCACTGGTGCAATAGTTGTCCAGGCTACAAGCCCAAAGCCATTAAAAAGCCTACCAGTTTACAAGGCAGCAATGCTCCTGCAAATCAGTTGGACTATGTCAGCCTTGAGACCTGCATCAATGGGCTTAACTAGACAAAAGGATCGTACCAGCATGCTCCAATCTTCTTAGCAAGAGGAGATGCCATCCTGGACTCGTGAAGCTTTGCTTGAGCTGCCAAGCCAAGAATCCCAGAACATCCAATTAAGGCACAAAGATGCACTCAAAACTGTCACAACTAACTGCTAGCTTGAATGCCATCTTCTATGGCGAGTTGCAGGACATGGGAGTGTCCTGCTTACTAAAAAAGATCTGAGGGTGGCACTGAGTCACAAAAGGCGAGGGCCACTACTGGGGCACCAAGCCACTTAGACTCCAGGGGCCAAATCCCGGGCAAAGCAAGCTAGTAGCAGATGTGTTCAAGCCTTCAAGGAGAAGAGTAAGCATCCAGCATTACAACACTTTACTCATCCACTGAGAGAGCTGCTACTTGTTACTAACGCCACATGGAAACTTTAAGGTGCCATGTGCCTCCAAGTTATTGGCCATTATCACCAATAAAAATAGGTTTCCTACACCAGCTAAAAGTAGCCAGCATCTACAATGTGTTTTTCAGACTCATGCTAACAAAATTAAAAGGTATCAAATTCCTATAGTTACATAAGAAGCATTCTTTTTTAAACACACTCATTCCTTCAACTCCTCCTATAAGCCTAAAAGATTCCCATGTCTTGTGTTCCCACACAATATCAGATGACATTGAGCATGAAATGGAGGTAATCTGAAGCGAATCCATCTAATCTGAGTAGATCCATACCTAATGCCAGGTATAATTGCACCCGAGTCCAAATCTAAGGTGGATCGATCTTATGGACATAATCCATATATAACCCTCGTCATCTATTGATAATCCAATAGATCTTATTCCGGTAAAATGGGGTTCAGTTTGGATTGAATCTCAAGTTAAACCCAACCCATTTCGCTCGAGTTGGATCTTCTAAAGAACACCTATATCAGTCCATTTTTAATCACAATTTAATACTACAGCCTAAACCCGGTGAAGTGGATTTTCAATCAGATCTCATGTCAAACACAATCCATTAAATGCCCTATTTTTTTAGTGCATATTGGACCCCAATGTCCAGTATTTTGGCTGACTTGCAGCACCCATAAATCACAGATGATGCAAGCCTCAGCCTGAAACACCACAAGCAGATTGTGTTAATCTTACTCTTTCCCACATAAAATTATGCCACGAGGGAGATGTAAAGCAAGTATACTTAGTTCAACACGGTCTCATTATGTCAAACAAATACTTCATTCTTGACAAGCTTGGCATGGCATATTACAGAAATAACTAGGAGATCCCCCCACACATCGTCTCAAAAAAAGAACATTATACAAGAAGAAGTGTCAAATAAATTATTAGCATGTATAAAATGCAACTTACCGTTGTTGCAAAGCATCAAGTAGCAGTGATAATAAGGTAACATGAAGACCAGTACCATTATCAAACAAAACAAATCCACCTTCCAGTTCATCCATCTTGCCCTACAGCCGAAATAGAACACCTTCAGATCAATTATATGCTATACAAAGTTCCCATCATTCCCTCACACTTCTACTATGAAAGTAAATTAAATTCACAACATCCACGAAGGGGAAAAAACACACACACACACACAGATGGCAGAACATTTCAAATAACTATCATTATTGCTATACTAAAAAATCAACAATTAGCAGATGTCCACACCATGGACAACCATATATTTTTGTATTCCTAAGAAAATAATTCACATTATTGTCCTTATCAAGTGAAAATAGGTAATTTTATTCAACAATAATGCATATATAACACAAGGAGCCCAGGTATCTGCACAATTGCTCGCCTCCTTAGGCACTTTGATAACCATAGAAGTACTTTAAGAGAGAGAGAGAGAGAGAGAGAGAGAAGAAGAAGAAGAAGAAGAAGAAGAAGAAGAAGAAAAAGAAGAAAAAAAATCATATAAACTATAATAACAACAATAAACAGTCAATACTTGAAAACAATGACCATATGTGCAATTCCAAATACCCTAACATAGTCATGATAACACAAAAAAACTATTTGCAATATACGTGTCTTGCATCTGCTGAAAGTAGGACTAAGCATATGAAAAATGTGCCAGAGACAAAGATCCAGGTCTAGACATCATCTGTTTGTCATGTCCTAAGAACCGGAATTTTTTTTTTTTTTGAAAAGTCATGTCCTAAGAACTGGAAATATAAGAACTCCGCAGCATCCAAGTAACATAACTAATTATGTAGCATAGTAGATGAAACTCCTTTTCATTGGCAATTAATAAATTTCCTAGCTGCATAGCTTCTACCATACAAAGCCTACATATTTTAAGAGCTGACAACAAGAACCATCAAATAACAATGTGGTACATATTAGGTCCTTGAGCAACTGTAATGATGAAAACCAAATCAGAATAGCAAGCAGCAACTGAAAGTAAACCAAGTGTCCAATGAGCTAGATAATAGGCCCAAAATACCAACTGTATTGTTGTAAATACAACTAAAGGGCCAAAATGCCTCCTCGAGATTGGCTTGACAGTGAAGGATTAAAAATAAAAATGAAACGGGTCCCAAGTCTTCTCTACATTCTCTACTAAATAATCATAAAACAGTTCAACAAATGCAAAGCCCAAATTATGGTCCCTGTTAATTAAGAGTGCTACAAGGGACGGACAGGGTACAGTTTAACCTTTGTAATATTTGAACAAAGTGGTTGCCGTCAGACTCAAACTGAAGTGGGACAGGGGAGAAGCCTTAAATAGCTAAGAACTCAAAGAATTCAGAGGCTGAAAGTCCAAAGAACTAGGGCTGAAATTTGGAGGTTCAATAGTAGAAATGTAGAAAACCAGAGAAGTGGCTGGAAATTCAAATTAACAGATTGGTAGAGAGAAAGGATTGAAAACAAGAAAAAAAAAACTATTGAATTGCTCCAACAGGGCCTAGGTATCACACCTAGAGAAGGCCTCACACCCTCAGAATTTGTGAATCACTGGCAAAGAAACCACAAAGGATATTTTTATTCATTCATTGACTGAGTAATCAGAATTACATAGTATCCTTTTTATAATAACTGATTACCCTTGGATTACCCTACAATGAAGGTAATCAAAAGTTGACTCTAGCTTAATAAAGTAAAAAATTACTTAATTGATGCAATTTACCAAAATAATGCAATTTGACCAAACCCCTAATTATGCAAGACTCCAAGTGGACCCCCCATCGTCTAGCATGTGCCAAATTAAGGTTCGAGCCTTAGAACCCTCCTTGCCACGCCTTTTATATACTTTAAAAGGTTGCTGCCACTGGCCTCTACTAGCTGCCACCTGTTCTCTACCAATTCACTCCGGCTTGGAAAAACTCGGCTCCAACGAGTTAAAGGGATGAAATTGCTCATAAGGGTGAAAAGAGTAAGAAAATTTCAGCCTTGTATTCAGCAATTTCCATAATTTGCACCAAAAACAACGCTTAAAGCTCAGAGCTCGAACAGAAACAATACTGTTGTGCAACCCATGAAGTCGGACAACTTCTTGAAAAAAGGGTTTGGCATTGTGGACAGCATTGTAGGGTCTTAAAACATAGAAGGAAATGCGCCTTTTCCGAAAAACAATCCAGAACAATGTGTATAACATCATGTCCTCGACTAGTTCTGGGCAACCCAAGAACAAAATCAGCATCTGACCCATCACCTCTGATACCAACTCCATGGCCAGTACCATGTCGAAAATCAAGGCTATCCTTTGACGAATGTAGTCGAGCAAGAACATAAAGAGCATCCCAGTTGGTTCCATCAAGGTACTGTGCTCCCGAATCAAAAAGACAAATGCTGTTTGGATCAAGTCCTAAACATGTTTTCTCCTCTGGTTTATAATGCATAATTGCTGCATTAGGACCGAGGAAATAGTAGGAAAACCTTTTTTTTTTTTTTAATAAGTAAGGAAATAGTAGGAAAACTTAACCCTCTAAAATGCTCTTTTGAGGCACCCCCTCTAGCTTATCACTTACAGGATTAGTTTCTTCTGGAAGTTGGTTTTTCCAGACCTCGTATACCAAGTTGCTGGATGTTTGAACCAGCTTCTGTTGCTTCTTGGCACAAGCATACTCCCATTTCTTTGCAGGTCCCACTAATATGCACCAAGTATCTACTCCAATAGCCGCATCTTTTGGCAGATTCAGAGTAGAAGTACTATCTACCCAAGCCACTTTGAATGGTTGTGGATGTGGTTGGACCGAAGGCTTGAGGCACTCAACTGTGGCTGTGGACACAACATTCATGCAACTTCAGCCATCAATAATGAGCTTTCGAGCTTCTTTTCCACGACGAACTTGCATCTGAAAATTAGATGTCTGCTGCCCATCTTTTCCACCAACTTTAGGGTCTTCAAGGATGCGCGTCACAGTGGAGATGGAGGAAACATTCTCTCCAACTTCTTTCACATGATCAGTGTTGCAAGTCTCATCATCAAGCAGGTTCTCACGATCCTTACTAGCCATCGTACTCTTTCCTTCAGAATGAGCCATGTTATAGAAAGCTGCATTTGATCCGCCATTTGGCAGCATGGTGGTTGTCGGTGTGCTGCACGTTCTATCACTTGACTTATTTGGAATGTCTCTAGCGGCATCATGTGGTTCATGATGATTCACTTCTAATGGATTTCTTGGAAACTACAACATGGGAAGTAGTGGTGGATCAGCCTTCAAACAACACTGAGGGTTTAAAGGTTGTTGCTGCTCGCGGTTTCTGCCATCATTAGTACCAAATGCATATTCTTTTCTAGGGGCAACCGATTTATTAAAAGGCTGCGAAATTCGAGCTCCTATCTTATCGCATCAAGCATGCAGCCCTTTAAGTTCTTCCAAAATATGTGACAACAACTCAATCTCCTGATTATCATCCAATGTTTCATTGCCTGATCGAGTAAACATAATCTCTACTTAGGCCCTGATACCAAAAACTGATGTAGGACAAGGGAGAAGCCTTAAATAGCTAAGAACTCAAAGAATTCAGAGGGTGAAAGTCCAAAGAACTAGGGCTGAAATTTGGAGGTTTGATAGTAAAAATGTAGAAAAACAGAGAAGTGGCTGGAAATTCAAATGAACAGATTGGTAGAGAGAAAGGATTGGAAACAAGAAAAAACCTATTGGAATCACTCCATCAGGGCCTAGGTATCACACCTAGAGAAGGCCACACACCCTCCGAATTTGTGAATCACTCACAAAGAAACCACAAAGGATATTTTTATTCATTCATTGACTAGTAATCAGAATTACATAGTATCCTTTTTATAATAACTGATGACCCTTGGATTACCATACAATGAAGGTAATCAAAAGTTGACTCTAGCTTAATAAAGTAACAAATAATTTAATTGATTCAATTTAATCTAATTGATGCAATTTACCAAAACAATGCAATTTCACCATAATTGATGCAATTACCAAAATAATGCAATTTGACCAAACCCCCTAATTATGCAAGACTCCAAGTAGACCCCCCATCGTCTATGTTATATGGACTCGGGTACGGGTGTCGGACACGGGTATATATCCATGCGTTGGACATGTCAAGTCTCCAAACGGAAGGACAGACAGACACGGCTAAATATTCATTTTATTAATTATTTTATTATATTTTCTAGAGTAAAGTAATGTTTTTATCTAATATAATGTTCAATATAAGCATTTAACTCATTTTAAATTAATAATATAATGTAATTGAATGATTGGATATGTTTTTTAAGTACATGTCCAACCAAAAGTGTCAGACACATCCCATACCCATGTCCGAGGGTATAGTGTCCGACACGGGTACTTCACTACTTTTGAAGTGCCCTTGTAACAGAGCCCGCGTCTAGTATGTGCCAAATTAAGGTTTGAGCCTTAGAACCCTTCTTTCCACGCCTTTTATATACTTTAAAAGGTTGCTACCACTGGCCTTTACTATCTGCCACCTGTTCTCTACCACAAACACATGCTTCCCAACCTCATATTTTACCACTACATGAAGAAATAGCCACTATCAGCAAGACGAAGGCAACTCAAAAATTTATCTTTTGACCCAAAAACAAGTAACACCTTGAATTTCTATTGTAAAAACTTCAATGAAGGCACTCAAAAAGAGAGTACATCCCACTTACAACCACTCAAAAGTCAAAAGAAACACTATACCCTCAAGCCATACAAAAAGAGCATGAAATCCTCCACATATTTACAATACCACCCGCTGGTCCAAAAAAATAATGATCTAACAATAAGAATCTGAAAACCCAAATAGGAGTCTCCTCCTCATCAAAGGATCTCCTAGTCCTCTCTCACCATAAACTCCACCATAAACAAAGAGGGGCAACCCTCCATGCATCAAGAGCTTGCTTGTCGCTATAAACGACATGGAAAGCGACATGACCCAACTCACTCCAAACAAACCAAGAATCAAAACCCAACCCTCCCTAGCTATTGGACAATGCAAGAGGAGATTATTAAAGGACTCCTCATCCCTCTTGCATATGCAATACCAATTGATGATAATCTACTGCCTTTTCCACAAATTATCAATCATCAAAATCTTTCCCAAGGTTGCCGTCCATTTGAAAGGGAAAAAAAAAAAAAAAAAAAAAAGAGCTTTTGTGAGCCAAATTGCCTTCCACAGATGGGAAGGACCCTAAACATCCACTAATCTCCTATAGAACGAAAGGACCTCAAATCTCCCATGGGTCAAAGCCGCCCAAAGTCACTCTCATCCCCCTCACCACCTATCTATTGGAATTTTAACTCTCTTTTTTTTCACTTTTTCAAGCTAGCTCAAGGATGTCATTGTAAATGAACAAAAGAATATAAGGAACTCGATATTTGCACTGACCAGTCAACTGCACATTCGCCTGATGAGGTCATAAGTTAAGAGAACTAGCAAAGATCTTCATAAATCATCAACTGAAAGTATAAGCACTATTTCAGAAAGTATCTAATTGGACTCTCTTGTTTATCTCTACCTACTCCTTAAACTCTTATTATCCTTATTTTCCAGACTGAAATGATCCGAAAGTTTTGTTCTTTTTAAGATAGATCTGTTTTGGTTTGATTTACCTCCTTTTATTATCGGTTGTATTTCCCTAGAAAATTGTCAATCAATTGGTCGATATCCTTGGTATTTTTGTTTGAGTTGAAGCTAAAGTCCATAATTTTACTCAGGTTTTTGAGATTTTATGTGCAAATTTAAAAATTCCTAAAGACAAATATATATATAACAAGTATCGGATTCAAATATATAACTACTAAAAATAAAATCTTGGGTTATAACACTTCATTTACTAGTTTCCCTTTCAGTCAGAACTACGCATAATTTTGAATGCAGGCATCAGAAGTCTTTTATTCAACATTCAAATGTCACATAGAAGATGTCCCTGCGAACTTGAAATGGGAGAGTAAACATACGCACTCTAACGGGAATCTAAAGCCCATTATTCACCTCTAGTTTGTAAAACGATTCTTGAATTAAAGTTGACTTGTCTGAGAATATGAAGCAAGTGTAAAACCCTAGATCATTTCTCGTTCCAGTTCACCACTACTCAAGACGTTCGTCATTGCTAAAACAATAACAAAACAAAAACAACAAATTCTAGATCAAAGTTCACTAAATTACATACATAATTGTCCCAATCCTGGTGAATTTCATAAAATTGATCTACTATGAGAAAGAGGGTTTGTTTGATTGAATCTTACTCTTTGGAGAGAACGGGGATGATCTCAAAGAGGACGAGCTGGAGGAGATTGCAGGAGAAGGCGAAGACAACGCTGAAGATGATCTGAACAAGTGCTCTCTTCTCTTCGTACTCTTTGTACAGTCTTCGGTTCAGGAACCAAAGCCCTGCCCATCCCAGCAAGCACAGCGATCCCACCACCACCACTCCCTCGTAAATCGCCCATCCCCATCCCATTTCTCTATCTCTCAACAACTACTTACTTACAGTCTGAGTCGCTCTCTCTCTGTATATCCAACCGATGCGTATAGCGAATACTGTAATGCATGTATAATGCATCCGTTTGTCAATTACTTTGCGAGGACTGGAAGAGGCTTCAATACTTCACGACTTCAACCCCAATATCGAGAGCAGGAAGGGAGAATGAAAAGCTCTTTGGATCGGGCAGTCATTCGCGAAATATAAAATTATTTTTTAATAAATAACAATTAGAAACACATTTATTTTATCATTGAAAAGGAGTGTGCATTATTTGTCACTTAAAAAAAATTTAAAACTTACCAACAATTTTTGAAGGGTTTTGGATACAAATCGAAACAATATTTGGTAAAAAGAAATTTGTTTTTGAAAATTTAAAAATACTATAGTACCAAAACACAATCATCAATTTGGTGATCATGTGGATTCAGGCCAAATAAATATACTATGAACTATTACAAATCAATATCAGTCGTCTCAAACATAATATATAAGTCTAAATTTAAAAACTGATATCACAAAAATAATATCATAACATATTCCAAATAGACCCTAAACTTATTTTTTTATTTTTTTTCTTAAAAATTTTTCAGTAAACTAAATTAATAATATCTTTGCATAAGCAAGAAGGATAAAATTAGTCATGAATCTCATGACAAAAAAAAAAAAATGAAAATGAAAGAATGTTTTCCTTCTTTCTTTTTTCTTTTTTCTTTTTTCTTTTCTTTTTTTTTTTTAATAAAGAATTTTGTTAGTCTTTTTTTTTTTTCTTTTCAACTTAGGTTTGGCTGCGGAGAGTTGTATAAACTAAATTAATGTCTGGTTTGTTGAAATATATATTATATATACATATTATATTATGTTTCTTTTTGTTTCCCTTCTTTCCTTATATATATATATATATATATATATATATATATATATATATATATATATTATATATATTATACATATATATTATATTATGTTTCATTTCTTTCCTCCTTGATTTACTCCTTAAGTTATTCATTTTGTTTCATTTCTTTCCTCCTTGATTTATTCATTTTGTCAACTTTATTTTCTATATATTGTGTATCAATATAATATAACATATCAAGAAATAATAAGAGAAATGTAGCCTTAGTGGCTCTTGATATAATACCCCTCGATTCTAGAGTCACGGATGATCAAGTCCGAACACAGATCCGAGGGATACCAAACAATTAATATGTAAGCAAGCAAGAATACAAAATGAAACAAGAATAAAATAATAAGCTGAAAATAATTCTAAATACGAAAATCCTCCATTAATTATAGATTTATATAATTTAATCTTCCAATCCGTACAACTCGGGAATCCATCCAGTGAACCCCTAATAATCCCAAATGAATAATAAATTACAGAACCAAAATCCAAAACCAAAAAAATATGAAAGGAAATCCTACATAGTAAGTGACTGTATCTGCTTCATCACGATCAGGCTCTAAGCCTGGTACTGATGAACACCTGAAAAAAATAAGAGTGGGTCAGGCTCACATGCAAATTTCATCCTACTACAATCCATACATAAACCCGATACGCAGATACATCCTAGATAACTCGGCAATAACTAAAATAGTCCATATAGATATAGATACACACTATAGAACGCTCACTAGCATATAGTGTAGTTCAGCCTGAATAGAAGGTAACATGTAAATCACACATTATGGTGTGCATGCGCCCTAGACCTATCAGGGAACATCAGTAATATCTAGTTACTCATCCTTTACGATATACGCATCCTAACCATGATCCTGAGACTTAAGCTCATATCACGGTGCCATAAGTATATATAAAAATCATTCCTAATACAGAAAAATAAAACAAACATTTGATATGTCGTTCAACTGTTTTAGTTGACAGGACATGCATCCATGTAGGATTTAACTGTTTTAGTTAATCCATTCCGTATGTATGAATAGGTAGGACTTAGCGTTTTGATCTAATCCATCCCCAATATGTCACCGTCCCATACCGGTGCATATAATGCATATAATCCATAAATGATGCACACTCATTTGAACATCAAGTACATCAAAAAATAAACATAATAGAAATCAGATATAGACAAGATCCTATCATGCATCCGGTATATGATTATAATCATAGAACCTTCGTATAAATTGCTAGAGTAAAGATACACAATTTTAACTATCCATATCCATCCAATTGACAAAACAGGAATTATAATCATTCATCAATTTAAAATCCATAACTTGTTATAATGATAATCAAAAGTATTAACTGAGCACATTATACCAAAATCTTAAAAATCATTTCATACTAGTCCATTAAATTTACTAAACAAAACTAGCATTTAATTAATATTCTTGAATTCTGACTTGATATTCTTGATCTACATGCCATATAGCTTCACATATATTTGATTTAGAATATTCGGTGAGGTTTTGAAACCTTTCATTTAATTAATTTCCTTGTTTAAGATTTATTCCTCATAGTGATACACAACTTGGAATTGAATTGTGGCATGTTAGAAAATTAAGCTTTGGTGTAGTTATTCACATATATTAAATTGAGATTAATTGCATAAGAATTGCAACCTTTATTTTATATTTAACTTTAGTGAAAGTTTAATTTACATAGGTGTAACTTGCATGAAATAAGCTTGTAATGTGATATTACATTAGTCCTTGGCATGTTCTCTAAGATATGTTAAATTGAGAGTATTTGGTTAAGTTTGAAAATTTAGGGATTTTAATTAAAAGAATTATTTAAAATCTATTTTGTGGTCCCATTAGCTTAATTAAGGTTTTAACTTGATGTTTGTATTGGCCATGACTTGTTTACTAGTATATATTAATTTGGGACTATTTGAAGTTGTTCTAGAACCTTGGGATTTAAATTAGCATGGTTTAATTAAAGTTCTACTTTGTTGTTCTAACAACCTAATTGAGTTTTAGAATGGATATAGGTGATGACATTGCCATGTCCTTTAACATGTGTTAAATTGAGGTTAATTGGAATTGAATCGGAATCTATAGAATTTAATTGTGTTTATCTATTTAAATTCTATCAATTTGCTATATGATCTAGTTGTGTTTTAGAAGTGGTTTCTATATTCAAATCATGGACTTAGACTTGTTGTATATTCATTTAGTTATGTTTTGAACATTGGATAATATAGTTGCTATGTTTGTATTCATGAGAATATATTTTCCTTATTGAATATATTGTTGCCTTGTGTAATGATTTGCACACTTCATGTTTAACATCTTTCATGCATAGCGTGTAACGAATCACGAATCGCACACTGAAGATTCGACATTCATCATATCATATCAGTTGTGGATTTAGAGCATGTATTGTATAGGTTTCCAAAATTGGTTGTGCTTAGTAGATAGTTGATTATCTTGCATATTCCTGTTGATATATGCGTTGTTGCACAACTTGTTGATTTTGGAAACTTGGGGATGTCGTTGTTTGACTATGGCTAGGACGTGGTTCTAGTACGGGGGACAGTCCCTCTATATATAGTCTAATCCGCACATAGGAAGGTTACCCATGGGCGAATAACCCTAAAATAACTATGTTGTCGGTCTGATCCGGCGTGACGTCCGAGTATCCACTTTGTTTGATTTCGCATTTCATTTTCAAGTTGATAACTAGATGATGTTGTAACTTGTTGTTTCTTAATTGTCGTTCCATTTTAAGTTACAGGATGTTAACTTTATGAAATTGTGCTTTATACGTTGTATTGGAAGTTCCAATATTGGTTAAATTGCATCGATATTGAAAATCGTGTTTTAACGTTCTAATAAAGCTTAGGATTGATCCTATTGATTCATTTATAACATAGACGTTAGGTGGCATGAACCACTACTGTTATTTTGTGCTTTAGATTCTAAGTTGATGGCTTTGAGAACTTAAACCTTGTTGCATTGTATAACATGCTCTTTTGTTGTTGAATTGCATGGATAATGTGATTCTTGTTAACTTGTATTCAAATATGCTTTTGTCATGTTGTATGGATTACTCTAGACCTAGTTCAATTGTATTGAAAATGCAATTCATGTTAATCTATGCTTAAGCATTCTTCTTGTCGTGTTCTTTGGATTATCCCAACCATGATTCGTTTCATACACGTACGTATATCATGATTCTTGTTGCTTAGACTCTAAGGTAGCTTAGGATGCTCCCCGAGTCTCACTTGGGCATAGACGTTAGGTGGCATGAGCCCCTTTAACATGTTTCACCTTAAGGTGATAAATTTGTAAAATGATAGGTCGATGCATGCTCATCTCCTACGAGTAGCTTTATGTTACTCACCCCTACGATACTGGGGCATATTTCAGGTACGAAGACTTGGTTCATGACGCCTAGCATTCCTTGGATGTCGTGTAGCTTTCAAGTTTCCATTTCATGCAAATGTTAGCATGAAATGTCATTTTGTAGACTTATATGTCAAAATATGTATATTTGATTCCATGTATGTAATGTGTACTTAAGTACACTCTTTTCAATGTATTTGATGTGTATGAGATGAGGCCGGAGGCCAATGACATGTATATTGTATTCTATGTACTTTTTAACTTCATGAAATATTGTGAAAATCTTGAAAAATCGCAAGTCATTGCTTCATCATGGTTGCATCGGGTGTGGGAATTCCATTTTCATTCTTTCATAGGGTCTTATAAATCATGTTTGAAGTGTGGTCAAGGGCCAAACGGTCATTTGATCCCGTTTTGTATTTTTGGATTCCGAGTTTTCATTCCAAGTTCCATTTTTGCCTTTTTGCCCGTTGGGGGGTCGGATTTTGTATCGGTGGTATTTTTAAGTCGTGGACCATTGTAGCACGTCCAAATAGGTAAGTTACGTTTGCGTGCATTGTCATTTCCGGGCAAAACCTTATCGTTGGTGTTTTGAGCCTCTTGTGAATTCATTTCGCACTTTTTTTTACATATTCTGATCTAGGGGCATTATAAACTTTTCACAATGGTTTAATTTTCTTCTTTCAATATGGTTGAATAGAAAACATAATTTTAGGGGGGGTTTCTTTTCCGTGTTTTTCCAGAAAAAGCCATCTTGGCATCGGAAATCGCATCCGAAGTTTAGCTCTCAGTTTTTAAATTTAGCAGTTTTTTGGACCCTTTGGACCAGTTTTCTTGGGAGGGTATTTTGGGCATTTCACAGTGAGTTTTTTTGGATTTTTCTT